TACAGTTTTCCAGATAGAGCTCCCCCACAGCAGCCAAAGGAAGCCGTTTCAGTTGCTCTTCAGAGACATTTGTACCTAATTAGAAATGGCGATAGGAGCAGGCAGTTACCTTGAACCACTGGCTCTGGGGGTGTCCAGCTATAGTACAGGAAGTCCACCGGACTTGAAGCTGCCGTGCCAAGAGGATACAAATGCCTGGGAGAACCAACCCCGAGAGCTGACCGCCCCACCCCAGATGTCCAACTTTTCCCAGCTACCCTTCAGATGACAATGTCCTGGACACCCAAACGGGAAGGGCCAAGCTGAAGAGCTTGCTATCCCTCACCCACCACAACTGAGGGGTAATACATAATTGTTTTATCAACTAAGCGTCAAGGAAATTTGCTAGGCAACCATAGCTATGACAAATAGATTAAGTCATTTAATCGTCACGATAACCCAAAGAGTTGCTGTCAGTCTCTTTTCTAAAATAAGGAGAGTCCGGCTGTGGTGGAGCGCGCCTTTGATCCCAGCACTTGGGAGGCAGAGGCAGGTGGATCAACCTGAGCTCTACCTCGGGAGACCCTGTCATTAAAAAATAAAAAATAAAATGGGGAGACTGGAGGCCGGGGATAGTGGGACGGTTCAGTAGGTGGATTGTGTAAACCTGGAAACCTAAGATCAGTCCCCAGAACTCACCAGCGAGGAAGGAGAAAACTTGGACTGACTCTAGGGCTGTCCTCTGACCACCACATCACTCCTCAGCACACAGATATGTATACCCAGCAATGACTGAATGTTCAAAATGAGATTCGAAGCTGTACAAGCAAGGCCAAGAGCTAGGCAAAGCACTAGGTATGAAGGCAGACAGGAAACACAGGCCAATCAGCTCGGTTCTGTGGTCTCTTAGGTCACATACACTGGACTGAGACATGCGTGACTCCTGAGCAAAACACGGCTGGCTTGACAAATATTGACACGCTTAGACGGGAGAGCTCGAAATGTGCACAGAGCCATATAAGTATGTCTGCTTGTAGGCTGACGGCGGGGAGGGGGATGAAGCCAAACAAGGCTGAAAGTCTGTCTAGCAAGGACAAGGCATGGGCTTCTGCCCTCAGCACTTTAAAACTAAGCAATAATTAAATTAGAGATGTCTCTCTGCACGGATACAGTGTAGCGGCCTGCTGGTCCGTGCATCACAATATTCAGTACAATAAACTACGGGCCAATTGTGAGGAGATGCAGGCAGTGATGTGGTATCAGGCAAATGGACCTTTTGGGCAGCACAACTTTAGAGGTTTTAGTACTTCACACCAACTGGGGACATGTTGATGGCGGGTCCTGGATGTCACAGCTGCTGAGGAGAGCAGCAGTGACCGAGGTCTCGGGTGATTATTATCTCGGATGCTGCTGTCCTTGAATTTGTCACGTCTGCTTCTTTCCTGAGTCCACCTAAATGATTATGAAAGCTGTCCCCCATCCTCTAAATCCTTCTGTTCTTTTTTTCTTTTGTGTATGTATTGTGTTGGGGCGCAGGCATTCTAAACAAGTACCACTGCACAGTTCTACCAACCTTTTGGACTTTTATTAATCCATCCATTCACCCATTCAGTTTTGAGACAGACGCTCAGCCCAAGCTGGCTCAAACTCACTGTGTAGAGGAGGACGACCTTTGAATTCTGATCCTCCTGCCTCCACCTCGTCGGCACTGGGATTATAGGTGTACGTGCACTCTGCCAGCGTCTCAGTTAAAGCTTTGTCTTCTAGGCTATTACAGTAAATCAGCTGTCCCTGTGACCTCATTTCCACATACCCGTCATTGCCACAGAATTCCCGGCATAAGTGTGATGATGCCGTTACTTTGTTAAGTGATCGCATTTGTTACCCATTTACAGTAATGCACAAATGGTCTTGTGAGGCTGTCACGGCTGCTTACACTTTTTTTTTTTCCAAGACAGGGTTTCTCTGTAGCCTCGGAGGCTGTCCTGGAACTAGCTTTTGTAGACTAGGCTGGCCTTGAACTCACAGAGATCCACCTACCTCTACCTCCCAAGTGCTGGGATTAACGGTGTGCGCCACCACCACTTGGCTTTCTACTAATTTTACTCCCTTACCCCGAATCCCTTCTCTTCTGAAATGTGAACACTGCCTTATTTGTCCATGGATTTATTGAAAAAGATGGCCTTAGGGCAAACCCCAACTGGCCAGGCCATTCACCAGTCCATTCTAGAAATTTCACCTTGGGACTGCCCGTCAGTTTATTTCTGTTTAGATGCTGCAGTATCCAACATCAGAAACGGCTGGTGACCATTTTCCTCCCTACTGAGCCAGGAAACTGGAGAACATTCAGTGTGGGGCTCAGTCAGAAAGTGTCCCTGTGAGTCCTACAAGATGAGCCAGATTCCTACAAACTCCTTCTGAGCTGCTTCTCACCTTTTTCTTCTTAATTTTTAATTTTTAGGTAGGCTCTCATGTAGTCTTGGTTGGCCTTGAACTCACTAGGTTGCCAAGGGTGACTCTGAACTGATCCTCCTGCCCCCACCTCCAGAGTGCTGGCATTCCAGAGATACCCTACCATGTCTATTAAGTGTGGTGCTGGGACTCTACCCTCCCAGCCCCATGCCTCTGAGCACCTTAGGCAAGCATCCTGCCAACTACATCCCAGGCCTGTTTTAGACTGATACCTGTACCCAACAATTCTAAACCACTCTTCGGAACCCAGTTCCTCTTGAGCCATCACGGGGCGCTTCTTCCCCTTGACTTAGAGAATTCCTCCCATGGACCTCAGAATGTCAGACATCCTTGCCACTGTGACGCTTTGGCACCGCCCCACTCTGCGTACCATCCGCGGGCACACATTTATCCAATCACCACTCTGCGTGCCATCCTCGGGCACACGTTTATCCAATCACCACTCTGCGTACCATCCTCAGGCACACGCTTATCCAATCACACTTATCCCCTGTGTCGAAAGTCCTACTTACCTTTGGTGAGATGCTTCCTGAAAGCATCTCTTGCCTACAAAGAGACTGAACTTTTGCTAGCCCTTGCAGTCAAGTTAATAATCTGCCTGGAGGCCATTTAAGACTACGTGTTTCCTCTGCTGCCCTACTGTGTGCTCGGCTTGTCTAACCTGCCTTTAAGAGAACAATGTAACCAATCTTTTTTTAAGATTTATCTCTTATATGCACAGTGTCTGCCTGCATGTGTGCCTGCAGGCCTAAAGAGGGCATCAGATCTCATTACAGATGGTTGTGAGCCACCAGGTAGTTGCTGGAAATTAAACTCAGGATCTCTTGAAGAGCAGTAAGTGCTCTTAACCTTAAGCCATCTCTCCAGTCCAATGTAACCAATCTTAATATGCTTACAACCTAAGCTAAATGCATAGTTTTACTCTTAAAAAACTATGTACTCTTCCATGAGCCAGACTACTCTGTGTGTGTGTATGTGTGTGTGTGTTAATCATTTATTGAAATCAGCCAACAGGTTGAAAGTTATCTTAAACAAAATGAATATCCACCATAAATATTGGAAACAACATGTGATATCGGTTGATAACGTGTGAGGTTTTGAGTATCATTTTGAGTCAGTTGAGATCAGCAGTTTCTTTCCATATCAACCTGCTGAAGAGTTCTATAAAGAAGCCCTCATTTAGGCTGGAGAGATGGCTCAGCAGTTAAGAGCACTGGTTGCTCTACCAGAGGACCTGGGTTCAATTCCCAGCACCCACATGATAGCTCACAACTAACTGCCTATAACTCCAGTTCCTGGGGATCTGACATCTTCACACCAAGGCACACAAAAAAATAAATGAAGGCCTCATTTCTTTCCCATACTATGTTTCCTGTGCTGTTAAATAAATACAGAGCAAAGCCTTTCGCTAGGGACAAGCATAACACACAGGCAGTGGGGGCAGATCGGACACACAACACACAGGCTACAAACAGGTCAGAAATCACAAACTACAGAGAGAAGACGCAGGGAAAGAAGTGGGGAATTCACATTTGGGCTCACTGTTGGTCAAACTGTCCCGAGAGGAAGTCTTGATTTGTTCCTTAATGTGACAGCCATGCACTGACCTATCACTGATTGTATGTTTGTGTGTGTCACTGTATGCCATGTGTATGCAGGTGCCTGTGGAGCCCAGAAGAGGGTATTGTATCACCTGGGGCTGTGTTACAGGTGGTTGTCAGGCACCCAACATGGGATCCTCTGAAGAACAAGCACTCTTAACCACAGAGCCATCTCCCCAGCTCCCCTTACCTACATTTCAAGCTCTTCAGAGACAGTTCTGTCCACAGCAAACTGCAGCAGAATAAGAACTTGGTAAGCAACGGAGAGACAAGATCACTTCAGTAAATCAAGTGAAATAGTGTGTGTCAGCTCTAGCAAACCTAGAACATAGCCAACTGAGGACCAGCAGACTCAAGTCCCCAGTCCCCGTGTCAGGTGCCTGAGGCACCTCTACACCTATAACCACAGCTGCGGGTGATCTGACACCATCTGCCGCTCCACACACACCTGCAGCGTCTGGTGAAGCCAGCCGTCCCTGGATGCAGTGCAGCATCTGACTTAGGCAATGCAGCTGGTCAGCAGGAAGCAGCAGCCCCTGAAAAGCCACCACTGCCCTGTCCAGAGGGCCTGGGGGACAGTCTTGTGCCTGAGACACATTCTTCCTTCTCCTGCTCTGGTACCTGCATGCACCCTGCGAACACACTCGGGCCATTTTCAGAGCATGTGCTGTCTGCACTGAGGACTCTTGAGAACCCTTATGTTTTAGACTTTGGATTGGTTTCTTGTCATCTACACCAACTTCACCGGTTGAGAACACCTAATCTAAAAATTTCCAATCCAAAATGATCCAAAATCTGAAGGTTTCTAGATGAAATGAATAGCAGATTTCAGATTTTCAGATTAAGGAACTGCAGGATATATGTTTTCTGAAAAGCCACAGCAGTCAGGGAGGAGGTATGTTCTTCAATTTTATATTCAACCCCGAAAACAAAGGAACGAAAACACCGTTTCTTCTGGCAAAGACAATTTATTGTACTTCACGGGAGAAAGGGAAGAGTGGCACTTGCTTCATAGCAAAACTGCTGAGCCTGCTGAGGACACACGAAGAGCAACTCAGACAGCCACGCGGTTCGCAGCCAACCACAACAGATCCGGAAGGAGTTCGCTTTGGTGTTCTTAGATAAAGATTTTTCTAAAACATCTGATACTTCCAATTAAATGTCAGTTAAAATAAATTCACAGAGATACAAAATGTCTGATTTGTGCTTAAAAAATTAGTAACTAGAGGTCAGCTCACCACCATTTGGACACAGGTCAACAGTCAGTGAAGTGCCTCCCAACACCCTGGGCTACATACATCCAAAGGCCTAATCTTGCTCTCCTGACAAGTATCTTTTTAAAATAAGAAACTAAAAACTTAAAGTAGTAGGTCATTACAAATGAGATACAAATGTTTTAATTAATAAATACTAAAGTGGAAAAATAATGCTTTTCACAGAACTGTAAAGAAAGCTCACTAACTCCTTACAAAAAAAAGTCTGCTACTTTAAAAAGAGAAATAATTATTAATAGTGCTGAAGAAACAATCCCGAGAACAGTAGGAAGAAGGCACCCGCCTAGAAGGCCTCTCTGTTCTCCCAGCTGTACAGTGTTGAAAACAATGAACAGACGCCCTTCTGTAAGAATGGCTACAGCCACCAGCTACTACGGCCATTACGTTTCACTAGAAAAACAGTTCCCGAGTCAGCATTAATTTAGCTAAATCTTTAGTCATAGCATGATTAGGAAAACTGTAGTAGGCTAGTTCTAGTGACACAAACCTTTAATCCCAAATGGCTGGAGGATGAGGCAGGTGGATATCTGTAAGTCGGAGGCCACCCTGGTCCCAGGCCAGTTAGGCCTACAAAGTGAGACCCTGTACTTAAAAAGAGAAAAAGAAAAATCTCTCTAGATGCAAATAAAGCCAACATGGCCCTGTATGTAAAACTGGACAACCATTTCGTACAAGTTTCATTTTCACTTAGCTTACTAAATAGAAAATTTTGCTTTTGTAACTGAATTTTCCAACTGGGACCTTCAGAATAATAAAACAAAACTCTGAAACTAGGTCGGAGTACCCTTGTTCCCCACACTCTGAAAACATTTAAGTAAAATCTATTTTGCCTTAATTTCCTCTAAAATGGCCCAGAACTGCAAGCTGTCAGAATGAGGAGCTGCACGCTTAGCTGAACGCGCTCACACGACATTCTGCAAAGAGCTCCATATGGAAATGTGCTGTGTCCTTTGTGCAAAGTCTCAAATTTAAACTAAAAGTGCTTAGGGCAAAAAAAAAAAAATAATTAAACTATTTCTTTCACCACTGAGGGACAGTTAAGATATTTTTCAAGCCAGGAGGTGAAGGCGCACACCTTTAATCCCAGCACCTGGGAGGCAGGGACAGGTGGATCTCAGTGAGTTTGCAGCCAGCTTGGTCTACAGAGGAAGCTACAGAACAGGCTCCAAAGCTACAGAGAAACCCTGTCTCGAAAAACCAAAGAAAAAAAATTAATTCCTTTTGTCCAAAGGAACAGTTTGTGGACATAAAACGCAAACATTTAAAAAAAAAAACTAAGTCAATGCTACTATGACAGGAATCCATGTAGATTCGGGAACTTGCGGCGTGCCTTCAGAGCTCTGGCAGATGGATGTTGACTGAATCCAGCCCTGAGTCACCCAACTCACCACGAGTGGAGGACAAGGGGCACCAGGAACCAGCTTTGCGACTAATTAAAAGTCATGGCTAAAATAAATTCCCATTACAACTGCCTGAATTCTTCTGATTAGTTTTTTAGTACTTATATGCCACCGTACAATAAAAAGCACCTCAGTAACTCGCTATTTGCAGTTAGCTCCACGCAGTAAGTGTGCTCTACACGGCATTTCTTTCCCAGTTCAGGAACACGGCGTGGGCGCCAGACTGAGCCTTGAGGTCCCATCATGCTCAAGGGAGACCTGGGACCGGAAAGAAGACCTGGTCGTCCCGTCTTTGCTTCCTTTTCCATCCCAGCTGTAAACTGGCCTTCGCCTTGAACAGTCACAGTGACAAACTCAGTAAGAGGATGAAAATACAAAAGGCAGCGCAACAACGGTACCAGCGGGATGATCCATGGTGTTGAAGAGTTAATCTTACACACGTAATTACACAACTTCAGACTCAGTCAGACCCGTGATGGGCATACCTGTGACTCAGCACCAGCAGGGCACCGCGGGCTTTGTTTCAGGTTTCAGGATAACTCTGTTATCAGGTGGCTGGCTAAGCATCAATGGCTTGTGGCTCTTCAGCTTATGAGCCAATGTCATAAATATAGCTTCTACGTGGTCATTATCATTGGGGTTTTTAGCCGAGGTCTCAAACAAAGGCATACTGTGTGTGTCAGCAAACTTCTGTGCCAAGTCTGTGGGCACCTGAATGGCGCTTCTCAAGTCACATTTATTTCCAACCAGGATGCGGGGTATATCACTTGCCAGCAAGTGCTGCTTGCATTCCTCGATCCAAGATGGCAGGCTGTGGAAGCTGGCCATGTTGGTCATGTCATAGACAAAGACGACAGCGTGCACGTTCCTGTAGTAGTGCTGAACCATGCTCTTCCTGAACCGCTCTTGTCCTGCAGTGTCCCACAGCTGGATCTGGAGCGCGGGAAACAGAAAGCAAGGTCGACACGTTCAGTCCAACGACAGCAACCTAGCCACGTCTACCTGCCCCAACACTCTGCTGCTTGGGAGCTTGGCTTTTCTGTGTTACCTGTGGGGTCTAGACTGCATGATTCTAGGATAGCCACCATGTGACTACTAAATATGATTATAAAATCTGAACAGGTAAAGTCTTTAAAATTATTTTTTAAAGAAGATTGAGGGAAAAAGATACAACACATAAACCATCAGACTACTCACAGCCTAGAGCTATGAAAGGCCAGCGCTGAGTCAAATGGACTGAATGAGTGGTTTTTAATGTTTATCCTGCACGTACACACATGCATATATGCAGGTGCACACACACCATGAGTGCACACAGGTCAGATCAACTCAGGAGTTGGCTCTCCACTGACATTTTGGGGTACAGGGGTCAAGTGCCTCTAGCCATTGGGTCATCCATCTAGCCCTCAGTTTTGACTTTTAAGTCTGTCAGCTCTTTAAATCCAAATTTCTTCATTTTATCCTGTTTTTCTTTCTTTTTTCCTCTCCTTTTCTTCTCTTTGAGACAGGGTCTTACTGTGTACTCCTGGATGCCCTGGAACTCTCTATGTAGACAGGGCTGGCCTCAAACTCACAGAGATCCACCTACCTCTGACTCCCAAATTCTGGGATTAGAAGAAGCAATTACCAGCATCCCCGGACTCTCCAATTTCTTAACAGTCTTCCTTTGCCCTAATATAAGCCTAATTTTATCCAGAGTAGAAATGTAAGGTACTTACAAGGCTTGATTTCTCTGATTTTCTTGGTACTTAGGGGAACCCAGTAGCAGAATTTGAGTTAATACCATGCAGCCAGCCTTCCTGGGAAGAGGCATTCCAGGAAAGCTGCTGTCTTTGAGACTAAAGAAAAAAAGAGGGTCTGGGGAGATAATGAAGTGTTGTTGTATGCGGTAGTCTGAACGTAACTGGTCCCCATAAGCTCACAGGGAGGGGCACTATTAGGAGCTGTGGCTTTGTTGAGGTGGGTATGGCCTTGTTGGAGGAAGTGTGTCTCTGTGGGAACGGGCTTTTGAGGTTTCCTATGCTCAGGATCCTGCCCAGAGTCACAGGCTACTTCCTGATGCTTTCTGATCAAGATACAGCCAGCACCATGTCTGCCTGCACGCCGCCATGCTCCCTGCCATGATAATGGGCTGAAATCTCTGAACTGTAAACCACCACCTCAATTAAATGTAAGAGTCCATGGTCATAGTGTCTCTTCACAGCAACAGGAACCTCAGCTACGACACTGCAAATGGGAGAACCTGAATTCTGTCTCCAGTACTCACAGCCAGGGGGAGCAGTCATACCTAGAACCCCAGCAATGGGTGTGAGGACAGGAGGATCTCTGAGTGTGCAGGCCAGCCAGACTAGCTGGACCGTTCAGTTGCCAGCTGAAACCTTGTCCCCAAAACTAAGGAAGACAGCAATTAAGGAAGAACTCTAGCCCCCACTCATGCCTGCACACACAGGTGCACACACGATCATGAACATACACAGTAGAGCATTTAAAACATGCCATGAGTCACAGCTCACTCTGCCCCTTGCTGCCTGACAACAGGCATTTTTGTTTTTGTTTTAGTTTTTGGTTTTTTGAGACAGGGTTTCTCTGTGTAGCTTTGGAGCCTGTACTGGAACTTGCTCTGTAGACCAGGCTGGCCTCAAACTCACAGAGATCCTCCTGCCTCTGCCTCCGAATGCTGGGATTAAAGGCATGCTCCACCGCTGCCCAGCAACAACAGGTATTTTGTAAGAGTAAAAACAGCCTCACAAGAAAAGCACAATACAGAGTTAAGGGTAAGTTTGGCATCCTACCAACTGGGGATATCACATGACTGCTACCTTTGGCTTTATTCTTTTTTGAATGTTTCTAAAATTTTAAGATGTTATTTATGTATATTTATGTGTTTTGCCTGCATGGATGCCTGTGTACCATGGGTGTGCACAGGATCCTCTAAAACTGGACAGTTGCCAGTCACTGTCCTGGGAACCAAACATGAGTCCTTTGGAAGAGCAGCCAGTGCTCTCACCTGCTAAGCCAGCTCTCCAGCCTCTAGATGTCATTTTTATATGGCCAGATAAGACCTTTTACAGGCTCAACACCACTGCTGTCAAGTTATCTACTACACTACCTTATTTAAAAGTTACCTACTTTGTTTACTCAGGAAATCCCACAATTCTGAAACCTCAAAAGTATCTGAATTCTATCCTGGCATTGCGGTGCACACTTTTCATCCCAGCAGAGGCAAGAGGATCTCTGTGAGTTCCAGGACAGCCAGAGCTACATAGTGAGACCCTGTCTCAAGCAATCCTGTACTCAGGGGCTGGCAAGACAGTTCAAGCAGGGAAAGGTGCTTGTCTGATGACCTTAGTTCAGTCCCAGGACCCACATTGTGGGAGGAGAGAGCCAGATCCTGCAAACTATCCTCTGACTTCTACATGCTCACACTCGCACACACTTCACACACGTGCACATGCACACACACAGACACTAAGTATATGTAATTTAAAATTAAAGCACCTAAAAATAAATGCAATCCAAAGTTCAGCCAGGTGTGTTGCTGTCTGTGATCCTGTTACTCGGGAGATGAGGAGAGGCGCATCTAGAGTTTGAGACAAGCGTGGGCAGCTAAGCAATACCCTGCCCTTAAATTTAAAGATTCCTAGGCTGAAGAGCTGGCTCAGCAGATAAGAGCATTTGCTGCTCTTGTAGAGGACCAAGTCTGGGTCATAGCACCCATAGGTTGGCTCACAATGGTGTGTAACTCTAGTTCCGGGAACCCAACATCCTCTTTTGCCGTCTTCGTGGGCACCGGGCACACACATGGTGTATAAACACTTGTACACATAAAACAAATGAAAGTTTTCTATAAAATCCTAAAAGCAGATGTTCTATCTCACTATCATGACCTCTGTTCCTAGAGTTACCATCTCCAGTTACCACGACTTGCCTCGGTCTGAAACCATGGCTTTAGGATTTTGTCCTTTGTCACCTCCATTAGCTTTCTTTGCCACTTGACTTTGAGAATTCCAAGAAACTGACCTGTTTGCACAACTGCGCACTTAGGCCCTGAGCTCCTACCCCTACTATAGGGATTACCAGACCTAGATCCTACCCTAACAGGGAAGACAGATGCATCATACAGTAAGATGGTCCTGGTCTGACAGAGGGCTAAGGGGATTTTCACTGAAGGAAGTAGAATGGTTGGGATTCTAAAGAGAAGCTGAACAACAATCCTGCAGGGAAATACAGGAAGGAGGGATATTCCAAGCAAACAGTGAGAAACCAGCAAGTGACTTGGCGGAACTATAGGGTGACTGAAGGAAGAGGGCAGCATCACCTAACGAGGAATGGCTTGTGTTGCTGGGCAGTGGTGGCGCACGCCTTTAATCCCAGCACTTGGAAGGCAGAGGCAGGCAGATCTCGGCGAGTTCGAGGCCAGCCTGGTCTACAGAGTGAGTTTCAGTACAGGCTCCAAAGTTACAAAGAGAAACCCTGTCTCAAAAAACAAACAAACAAACAAACAAAAAAGGAATGGCTTGTGTTAGCTATTTTTAAACGAGATCAACTAAGTTACTACCAAAGTTCAAAATCAAATCTGAATTTTTCCCTGTCCTGAGGATGAAACGCACTGTCCTGAATGTGTCAGACAAGTACTCCATCACTGAGCTTTGCAGATGTCTAGCCTCTCAAAGGGAGGCGTGGAAGAAATACTGCAGCTAGGATTTTGACGCGAGGAGTAATATGAAAAATTGCAGTAGGAAGCTAGCTGGCTCTAGGGAGGAAAAGAGAAAGATTATATCTGGAAGACCTGGTAGATTCTGAATTTCATGTAATTTTCCTTTATCATGAAATCTCATTCTCCAACCATACAAAACCATGGCTGGCGTACAGCTTAGTGACAAGAGCGCTGGCTTGTGTACCGTGCAATGAAGAAGCCCCGTGTTCATCCCCAGCACAGAGAAAATACCAAACTCATTCTTAGACTGCATGTCACATAAAACAGGAAGTAGAGCATCTGACTGTCTGTCGCAGTTTGCTACTCCTCACACTGGACTAGCATTCTTTGTGCTTAATATATTGATTTATGGGAAGGAGATACAGTGATTGTTTTTCCTTAGTTAATATTAACATCTTGCTCTCTTCTCCCGCTATAAACAAGAAAGCCACTGACATATTTAAGTACTGACTGCTAATCCCTGATGGAAGACTGGATTAAATCTCAAAATATCAGACTTTACTGAAGCCCCTGCTGGGGCAAAATGAGTGTTGAGAGAGGAACACAGCTAGACAGTCAAGGAGGGAGCATATGGACTAAGGCTGAGACAGTCAATCTGAAAGTCAAATGCATTGTTATTTAAGGAATCATTTGTGTTCAGCTGCCAAAATTCTCTAACGAGATTTTCCTCTTTCAAGCTTATGTATACAGCACTCAGAAATCAATCAGCAAGGACAGACCCTCAGGGGTTTGCTTCCTTTCTTTTGTATGCGTATGTTTAGACGGGCTCTCACTATGTAGCTCGGGCTGGCCTGGAGTTAAAAAGGAAGACTCTTTAAGGCTACTGGACTGTTGGTGGCCGTGGGCACACAGTTCAGCTGCCTAGCGACACAGACTGAGGAGTCTTTCTCGGACAGATCTGTGAGTGCTGGGATTAAAGATGTGCTATCATGTCTGCCTCGGTTTTTTGGTTTTTTGGAACAAGGGGGTCTGCAATTCACTAAGTAGTCAGGTTAGCTTTGAATTTAAGGCCGTCCTCCCAGCTCAGTTCCACATTATGTAGCTCTGGCAGGCCTATAACTCACATAGATCTACCTACCTCTGCTTCAGCAGTGCTGAGAATAAAGGCATGTGCCACCACACCCAGCTTAAGGAAAGGTTTTTTAAAAAGATTTAATACACACAGGGATGGGGACAGATCTTAGTCCACAGAATGTTTGCCCATCATACACACATTGAAAGCCCTGGATTCAATCCCCAGCACTGCATAAATCATGGGGGCATGTTTGTAATCCCAGCACCCAGGAGGTAAAGTCAGAAGGTTCACAAGTTCAAGGTTAGGTAGGGGAGCTGAGGCACTATCTCAAAAAACACAGCAGTAGAGAGTAGCTGAGAGAGACGTCTAACATCAACGTCCCGCCTCCACACACAAACACACACAGTTCAAGGTCATCCTTGAATAATATAGACTTTGAAGTCAGCTTTGGGAACATGAGACCCTTTGTTTTGAAAAAGGCATACAGGGTTGGAGAGATGGCTCAATAGTTAAGAACACTGGCTGCTCTCCCCAAGGACCAGGGTTTGATTCCCAGCATCCACATGCTGGCTTAAAACCATCTGTAATTCCAGTTCCAGGAGAACACAATGCCTCTGTGGGCAATGTACACACGTGATACACAAGTATACATGCAGGCAGCACTGGTACACATAACATAAGAAATATTTTTTTAAGTGCCAGGGATGTAGCTTAGTTGTGTAAATGGTAGAACACTCCACCTAACAGGTAGAGTTTGGATTCAAGCCCTAACACCACCACTACCACAATTAGTACATACTTTTCCAGCAGATGAGACTAAAGAGAGCTGTCAGATCACTGAACAGGTAGATAGATGGAGAGAGATAAAGTGTGTGTGTGTGTGTGTGTGTGTGTGTGTGTGTGTGTGTAATAACTGAGCATGTTACCACACTCACCCATGATAGTTCAGGGCTAACAAGACTGACTTTATCACTGAACAAATGTTCACAAATGCTAACTGCGTACTCCTTATTTTAGAATGACCCTGATCATAAAATTATTTTCATTGCTACTTCATAACTGTAATTTTGCTACTGTTAAGAATTATAACATAAATAACTGTGTTTTCCAATGTCTTCAACAACCCCTGTGAAAGGGTCGTTTGACACCCCCCAAAAGGAGTTGTGACACACAGGTTAAGAAACTCTGCTTGGGGGCTGGAGAGATGGCTCAGAGGCTAAGAGCACTAGACTGTTCTCCCACAGGTCCTGAGTCCAGTTCCCAACAACCACATGGTAGCTTGCAACCATCTCTAATAAGATCTGGTGCCCTTGTCTGGCCTGCAGGCATACATGCAGGCAGAACATTGTACATATAATAAATAAAGAAATCTTTAAAAAAAAGAAAAGAAAAGAAAAAGAAAAAGAAAGAAAAGGAAAAAAAGAAAGAAAAAAAAGGCAGGTGAGATAGAAGCCATCCAGGTCTACATAGAAAGACTGTCTCAGTGGTGAAGAGCACTGGCTAATTACCCATGCCTTTAATCCCAGCACTCAGGAGACCAGCCTGGTCTACAGAGTTCTAGAACAGTCAGGGCTGTTACGCAGAGAAACCTTGTCTTGAAAAAACAAAAAGAGCACTGGCTGTCTGTCCTTTTAGAGGATCCAAGTTCAAATCCCAACACCCACATGGCAGCACCCAGTTCAGACATACATACAAACAAACACCAATGCACAAGAAATATAAATAAATTTTAATTTTAAAAAAGGCTCTCAAAATCAAAGATAGATAAATATAAAAAATAATTTTAAAAAAAACACAGAGAAACAAAAACAAAAAGTGTGACAGGCCACATACTTTAGTCTGTTTTCTGTTGCTGTAACAAACCCTTCCAAGGCTGAATAACTTAGAGAATGGAGACCTATTTGGTTCACACCTGATGGGTGGCAAGAGCCACACTCCCAATAACCCCTTAATCCATAAATGAGATTAATCCACTAATTTATGAACTAATCCCTTAACCAGTCAACAGATTAGTCTAATTAATCTGTGAAGGGAGTAACCCATTCATAATTCCGAAAGACCCGATCACCTCCCAAATGTCCCGCCTCCAAGTTCCATTAGCTCAGGAACTTGGGAATTAAGTTTCCAACACATGAACTCGGAAGACAATTTCAAGCCACGCCATAGCCCGCTTCTCATCGGCTCACACTTGCACCTGGGTTAGCTAAGCTCCGAAGCCTGTGTAACTCTTCCCACAACTGCTTGCCCAGATTAAACGTGCACACACCAGAAGCCTCGTTCTTTTCTGCTGCCACCGGTTTCTATACCTAACCAAGTTTTTCTTTTAAAAAAAAAAAAAACCCTAACCACCTCCTATTCATCTAGCTCTTCTTGCCATGTACACAGTCTCTTCCCTCAGCTTCTGCAAGGGATCACACACTGGGTCTTGTGCACCCTATTAAGCCCCCCATTGCTGAACTACACCCTACTCCCATACATCTCCCTTTACATACAGGGTACCCCAAACGACCAACTACCGGCAGCCTGAAGTGCTTGCCAAGCTAAATTTGGACCCTCAGCACCTGCGATCCCAGACCAAGAAAAGCAGAAACAGGAGGATCCCTGGAGCTTGCTAGTCAGATAGTCTCATGGAATCAGGGAGCTGCAGATTCACTCAGAGACTGCCTCAAATGAACGTATAGACTCACCCCCACTACACACACATGCACCCACACACATAAGATAGATGGACACGAAAAGCAGAGGGACCTAGAAAAAGTGGTCTCCTAACTCAGATGATTTCCCCTTATCTTTACTAGGGGTAAAAGCTTTTTGAGGGCAGGGGGCAGACGGGAGTAAGGAAACAGAAACTTCACACCGCAAGGAAAAAAGGGCAGGAGGAAGAAATCAAACCTGTTTCAAGTAGAGGATCCCCAACATAAAGCAAAGTGAAAGCAGTTGTTTAAGGAAGTCAGGGGAATTCCTAGGTTTCGTCCGGGGAGGGGATTGATTGGTTTGTTTGTTTAGTTTGAGATGGCGTCTCGCGGTAGTGCCCTACTCCCGCTTCACAGGATTAAGTAAACCTAGTGGTTTTGCAATAACGTCAAGGTTTATGCAGCACCGTCATGAGGAACCCCCTGACTTGCCACGGATCCTTATCCGGCAGTTCCAGCAGGCGAACACTTCACCATCCCAATCTTGGCTGTCTTGGCCTTCCCTACTATGATTACAATGTCTGATTTCTCGGAAGCCACCTGGGAGAGGGTCTGTGCTTGCATCGAGAGATGGGATTTCGGCAACCCACTTAAGAATCATCACATAGGGGCTGGAGAAATGGCTCAGTGGCTGGACCGGGGTTCAATTCCCAGCACCCACCCGGCAGCTCACAACTGTCTGAAGATCCAGTTGCAGGGGATCTGACACCTTCACACCAATG